AAACCCACCATGACACTTAACACTTGATTGAGTTACACAGTTACATGTACGACTACTAAGCACTGGCACAGCAGTGCTTTGCTAACACCTACTTGTCCAGATTTTCACAGATCAGGTAGCCCTACTCTAAGTTCATTACTTAGGGGTAGTTCAACTTCTTTATTTCTTTTTGCAGGTTACCTACAAGAGTAAATCTCCTCTCATCACAACAACAAACTGCCACCAGCCTTACAATTTGGAAGACCAACAAAAAAGGAAGCCTGTCATTGTGCTGATACGTTGTCTGACTACACCTGTCCCTGCTTCAATGATACAGTGCCCAGCAAACCAATAAATACTATTTTATCTTTGCATAATGCAGCTCCATCAAGCCTCAGTACTATCCTGGTGATAATTCACCATCAGCACTAGGACATCAAGCCCAAAGCTAGATATAGGGAGTTACCCAGTCCCTTGTCTTATAAATCGTTTAGAAGATTTCTGAACACAAATCAACAGGGAATAAGGAAAAGAAACAAGGTCTTCCCAGAATGTCTTTTTAAAGAGCTAATCTCTTTCCCCCCTTTTTTATTACATTGCAAATCTTAATACATTATATTGTTTCAATATAATGATATTTGTACAGTATTAATTAAAATTATTGACATTCTGTTGTTTAGATAACTTAGAGTATTAGGAATAAAGAAAAATATATACTATTAATTACAATTTAGAATATCAATATTACAAGCATTTAATTATTTGTATGAAATTCAGTATAACATTAGAAAAAAAGAAACTACTGCAGATTACCTCAAGAGTATTTGTTGTACAATAAAGGTTTTGATTTTGAGCTAGTTACTTAGTATTGAAATCTCCATTTATGATAGATAGTGTTAGTAAAATGCAAAAAAAATACTCTGGTTTCTCTTCGTATTGTGTAAATCATTTGCCCTTTACATCCCAGAATGTTAATGAGAAAGGGATTTTTTAAATTCAGATACTTTGTTTTAGTTGAATAAACTGGTATTATCTTCTTATTAAGTACTCATACACCACCCACACAAAGATTTCCTTTAAATGTTTCAGTTGAAATTGATGACTTATGTCAGTATTTTATGTATGTATGTATGTATGTATTTATTTATTTGGGTTCCAACTGCTGACTTCTATAACATAGGCTTGAAGTCTTATGTTGTCAGACTGGATGCTATGCAACATTCTTCTATGCTTTCTCTAGAAAGGAAATACATCAGCAAAAGAAGACAAAGAGAACTGTGATTTGCATAACATCTAAAAAGTTGTATATGTTAATTAAATACATAAATGTAGAAATACTTTATTCTAATTTAAAGTTAATTAGAAAACATGGAACTCTTTTCCCACCAAAATTCAGGATTTGCCAGTTTGAAATGCATCTTGAATAGCTTGGCTAAAGAGGCAACTCAGCAATTAGGAAACATCCAAAAGTTTTGATGTTCCCACACTTTTCTACACCTATAAGGTGTGCTCTTACATTATTTAATAAGGTTAGAGATCAGCTAGTCTACATTGCAGCTTTTTTGCTTATTTAATTCACTGTTTTGCCTAGGTAGTCTGAGGATTCTAGATTTTTGAAAGGACAAAATGGGTTCATGACTAATCTTGATCTTTTTACAAAGTTGAATGGATGACTAAGCTGAATTTAACCTCTATCTTCAGTTCACTGAGGTTGATCATATTTTGGAAAATAAACCCCACCTCCTCAGCTTGATATTCCTATCAGTCATCTAGAAATAGCTATAAAGTACCGCCAAGGTGTGCTCTTCACCCCACCCCCCAAATTAGCTCCTAAAAACCTGGGGGAGAATGACGGGTTTGATTTTTGCACACTTCAGGCATGGCTCAAAGCATGTTCCTTCATATTTGTCTGCCACACACACCTCCTCCCAGCTTGTGTTTTCTGTTGTGAAATGGACCTCACTCCATTCCCAGAGAATCTGGGTAGTTTTCTGTCCTCTGAAGTGGGTGCAGCTCTGCTGGGGAGAAATCATACCACCCTATCGATGGCCTGGTGGCCAAGGAGGTTGTTATGAGGGAAAGACAAGAAGATGCTAAGGATGATTTGAACATACTGTAATACATGAACGTAGTTTATTTTTATTTATTTATTTTATTTAGTAAACTTGTCCCCGCCCATCTCCCCACAATAGTTCATTTCTACATGAATGCCTACAATGCTTCAAAAATGATTCAGAAGAGGTGCTTCAAAGTGCTTGGGAATGCTAGCCCAGTATTCCGTTGCTTTGTCAAGTAGCCTCAAGCAGATGCTTCGTCTGACTCTTTATCAAAGCAAAGCTTACCTTTAAAGATTTGCATGGTTCAGTTTTGGAGACTGGGAGCTACCTTGTCTAGACTAAGAGTTAGTCTAGGTTCAAATAACTGAATCTCTGTCTCATCCTGGTTTATATATACAGTTGTTTTGAGGATATGTAGGTCAGGGGCAGAACATGTTCATTGCCCTGAGCTCTTCAGGATAGATGACTTTAAAAATTGTAATAAATACAGAATGAGTATTTATTACATCATGTTACATTACTTGTTGATCTCTTGGATGCTGCACATCCCAGCAGTGGGGCAGGAGAAGCCCCATGCCTGTTCCTTCTGTCAGTCGTTAAAGTTGAAGCTCCTGCTTGTATTCTCTGCCTGCACCATAATAGCAGCAAGGATTAAAATGCCAGGCATTGTCCTTGCCAGACTATAGAACTGTGTACTCATAACTTCTTCTCTAAAAATATATGGATGAACAGGTGCAAGAAAAGCTCATGGGTCTCAGAAAGGGAGGTGAAATTCACTCATTTTAGAAATGAGATAGCAGTTAACAAAGGCTACCTCCCTCAGTCAATACTGGGATCTTCCTTTGTTTTTTGTATGGATTTGAGACAAAATTATGAGTCGCTCCATTTCTGATCTCCCCAGTCTCTAGTGCAATTCTTTAATCACAGTTCTCATCAGCATTTATTAGCCCTTGCTATTAGTGTCCAGGGTCTGCCATGCATGCGATCTGCCTGATTAGCCACAATGTGTGCTCCTAAATTTTGCCGAAATCTGGCACTTACTGAACCGTCCATCTAAAGATAATTTTCCAATAACAACAATAACATTCTCAGTTGATAAGACTTCTGCACAAGATGGCCACAGGTCCTCCTTTATAGCCCTTTCTTGGAAGGCATTCTCTATTTCAAAGACTGTCTATCAGCTGACTGTATTCTTCCCCACTATAATTGGATGTACTGCATTTCCATTTAAATTATGCTATTTCTAAATTTGTATCTATGCATACAAATCAAAATATGCAAATGTTAGGCATGTTGTCCTCTAGTGCCCTGTCCTTGCGTGACGTTTCCTTTGGGGGAGCTAAGTCTAATTGGCCACTGTATCCTACCCCATTGGTTCCCCCCCCCCTTTCAAACACCTTATTTCAGCTGCTGCATTGGTTGAAATGTGGGAAAGGCAGTCCCACAGAAGAAATTCCTTCTTACTTTCACCTCTCCCAAGTGCCTTACCTAAGCAATACTGTATGGCTTTATTGTCTGTTAGGGAGTCTTCCTAATTCATACAATATTCACACGTGGGGCTATTACATGGAGATAAATCAGTAGGATTATGAGCAGTTTATCTGCCAGTTCAGTCTGGTTTGTGTGAATACATTGTTCAAAATTTTTGGCTTTTCCTGAGGGACATCATGCTGGGCTGTTGCGCTGAGCCTTTTATCTATTCTTGGCAGCCTGTGCCTCCACTATTTGATCAAATACATACATGCATACATACATACTTCTTGCAGGAGGAGGTTGCCTTGCACCATGCACCTTGGAGTAATTATGCTCTTATTAAGTTGCAAAAGAGCTTTCAGATCCCTCACAGTTAAATGTGGAATGGGTGAAGGAATGGTTATGTATGTATGTACGTATGTATTTGATCATAGTTATTTTCTGTGCCTGGGAATGATAAAGGAGAGAGAGAGAAAACAAGAGCTGACTGATAAATTACCATCAAAGCTGGCTATTGTCTAATTTAAATAACATTATTAGGCCTTCAGTTCAATCACACACACATTGTGCCGGCCCCACTCTGCTTAGTTCAGCTCAATATGGGGAGGTGTGTAGCCTCCATAATAGTCCCACAAGTGAGTAATTTGAAGATCTATTTACTGTTATGGCTCAAAGAGCTAAAACTGGGGCAAGAAAGGGCAGGGCAAGGATCAGCTTGTACACCAGCTGATGTTGTACTAGAATAAAAGAAGCTGCAATACACCAGATCTAATTCTTTGTCTTTTTAGTCTGGTACCCTCTACCAGGGCTGGTGTTTTGCTGGAACACCCTGTGCTTGACCTTTCTTCTTTGATGATGCTAGAAACGACCTGAATTTGAGAACTGCCTATAAAAACACGTACTCAATTACTGAATGACAATATTACCCATCACTGTTTCCTAATGTCTGAAATGCTAATGAATCACCAGATTCTTGCTTTGCCACAATCCACCTAAATTCAGCTTGAATCCATGCCAGCCCCAAGAGATTCTGTTCCCAGCTTGCTAGATGCTGTCTTAGTTTCACAGCTTTTGGCTTTACTCTCTAGCCCTTCCCAATTTAATTAAAGTAGCAAGAACAATACAATGTGTTAGCTCTGGTAAGAAGACTTGGGGACATGAATAGAACGAGGTATGTAATTTCACCACTGCTTTGGTTCCTTCACTAACTTCGAACAGGGTGCAATTGAATGTGTAGGGTATATATATTCTTGGGTGCTATAGTCTTCCAAGAGTATTGGAAAAGTAATGAACATGGTGCATATGTGTGCAATATCTATTCATAAGGACTAGACAGTAAGGGTGTGTGGTTTGTGGGTAGACATTTCACAGTATGGAAGCAGGCGTACCAAAGGGTATTTGCCTCAGTTCTATTTTTACTGACCAGTTGTAGTCAAGCTTCAATTTATTACTCCCATCCTTTTCTCTGTCCCTCACAGTCTGAGCACTTCCATTCTCCAGCCATCATCTCTCTCCTGCCTGGACTGCACTAGGGTAAGACGCTTGATCAAAGACTTAGCCTTGAGATAATCATGTATCAAAGGAACTGTGATGATTTAGGTTCAAGCAGGGAAAAATAATTGTAACATTACTGCTTTATTTTGATCAAGCTAGATGAGAAGATCTGCTAGCTGAACGAGACCTCGGTGGGGTATTTACTCATACCACTTCTTCTGCAAGATAAAACAATTACATTTGCTAGGCTAGTCACAGGGAAACTGAGATGTTTTTCTAATTATTATTTAATACCTTATATACATAAAATAGCCAGATTAGTGAGGAGCTTAAGGGCAGTTTCAGCTGTGAATCATTAGATCTCAAGAGAAGTGCTTATGAAAAGTCTTGGGAGCAGATGTGAATAATTAGATCATATATGATTGCAATATGAATATGTGAAGCAGGCCCCCTGAGAAGGGGCATGTCTAAACATCAGTTTTCTCCCACACAAAATTCCAGCTCCTGTTCAGCTGTGGAAATGCTGCAAAGACGACCTTCTGTATCAGATTAATACGAGCCCACTTTTGCTTGTCTTTGCCTTCTGTGCTGAATTTATCTTCTCGGTGTTTTTGTCGGTTCTTGTATTTTCTTAACTTCATAATGATGAAGCCAAACAAATGTCCTGCTTTCCCAAAGACATTTAGAAAAGCTTTTAGAAAAACTAAGCTCCAAGGTAATTTACCTAACTAGAAATACTGTAGGATCTGATGAATTTATTTCTGAATGTTCTCAATAGCACAAAAACAAAAGAAAAACTAATTTGAAAGAATAAGAATGCCCAGTCTAGAATCCTTTTTAAGATTTTGTATATTCTCTCTATATAAGAGTTGTGGAAAACAAATGTCCAGTGATAGGCTTGCAGAGTAATCATATGAATAAAAGTGAGACATTTGCATCTGTTAAAAATAAAAGTTCTATTTTGAATTATGGAATCAGTGTTCCCAGCTTTTACATTAGTTATGAGAAAATGCTACAATATCTGAAGCTAAGATGGATGAATTGTGTTGAAAAAAAAGAAAGAAAGAAAGATCACACTATTTAACTTTGATTTAAGATACGTTGTTAGAGAGAGGATTTGAATGCAGAAACCATAGGATAAGGTCTAGCCCGCTATCTAGCAAATTATTCCAACTACAAATGTCTGCACAGAGCTAGAAAAAAAGCCATCCAGGCACTTTACAAGCTAATCCTATGCGAGACAAGTGTTATTTTTAAATCTCTTGATAAATATTCCAATCATTAGTTTGGAGGCTTTAGGGACTCAGGGACCACACCCAAGACTCTGGGGGCAAGGCAGAGCGCACAAGTCCTTGAGGCCTCTGAGCCTGAGAATGAGGGCTTTAATCTTGCCCAGCACTTCTTGGAGCCCTAACACAAGACTGGCAACAGATATGGCTGCCCAACCAATGCCATAAGAATAGGGAAGGCAGAGGACGCAGCCACTTGGGGCCCCCTTGTCCCCACACCTTTAACAAATCTGATTGTGTGAGGTACAGTGATCATGGCCAGGAGGCAAAAAGCTAGACAGCCACTAGATGCACACAGAAATACAGGAAATGGTCATCCTAGTTAGATGGTAGCAAGGACATTTTTGCAGTTCAAGGATGTTAAGCCTACCCCCCCCAAAAAAACTTTCGGGGGGGGGTCTTCTGAAGGCATGGTTTGAATGCAAGAGGTTGAAAGGGAAGGAGAAATACTTTGAGGACTGAGGAGGTGAGGAGCTACTCTTGCCGGCTCATGCTTGCTGCTATGACTAAGGCAGCAGTGGGAATAAGTAGCCATGGGATTCTCCTCTTTCCCTCCTCCTGCCTACCATCAATTCCCATTGCAGAGGTGAGGCCTGGTTTCTGAGCTCTCTCAACATTGGAGGATCCATCAGAGAATTAAGCTCTACTTATGCCCCTGGGTCCAATCCTATGCTTGTTCTTCAGAAGTAAAAACCATGGAGTTTACTTTGTGTCTTACTTCATTTTGTGTCCAGAGCTATAGCCTGAGGTTATAACCCTATATCCAGGCCTGTATGTAGGATTCAGTGGGGTTTACTTTTAGTGAACCCACACAGAGGATATCCATAGGCAGAAATTCGAACTGATTGTATTGGCAAGGCTCTTATATTGTAAATGCATATGTGGAATGGTTCACATTATACACTTCAATTTATTATGGATTATCTTTTTGATTTTAAATATATTTGATTTTATCCAGGAATAATAATAAAACACGTTCCTTGTCACAACAATTATTTTCAGCTTTTCAAGCTTCAATGGTATTCCTCACTCCATTAGAGTTGTCACTCTCACCCTGGGGGGTAAAAAAGTATCAAATGCATCATTGCTGGGGAATACTATTATTTAATCCTAACTTTTCTAACTACCTGGAGTCTTGAGATAAAGACAATATAAAATGAATATAATAAATAATAAATGGATGCTGCTTATATTATGCATAATTTTTTCACTCATTTTTAAATGCTGGCATTGTTTCATTTCTTGTAGCTGATTGTTTTATTTTGACTTGTAGGCACAACATTTGTTTCCACAATGCCTGAAGTGTGAGTAAATATTTTCTTATTTTCTTCATTGGCTGAGATATTCTCCATGAACTTGACCCCAGAATGATTGAATGTATGAGATTTGATACTTTGAGTAAAACTAGGCTTGCTAGGAGTTGGCTGCTGAAAAGTCTCAAACTGTGTTGTTCTCCCATTTACCTTATATATTAAGTAGATAAATGAGGCACTTAACATTACACTGTGTATTTTTCCATCTCGCCTCCATTTCACTCTCTACCTATGTGTTGAGAGCAGAACTCGATAAAGAGCTGCAGTTTTCCAAGGTAAATCCAAGTCATATCTTGGATACAGTTTAAATCTTATACCAAAGTCTGTGAATGTCTACTCAATGGGACTCACTTTTTTTTTTTTTTTTAAGTTGAATGGGACTTTCTTCCAAGCTGATAATTAGAGGACTACAATTTTAACATGGTTCCTTGTATAAACAGTAGCTCTCAAACTAATACTTACACACACACCAACTTCTAGGTTTAGTTTTGGTATGAGAAATTTGACATTCAGATTTAACTTTTAAAAGAAAAGAAAAAAAATGTCTGAGTTAGAAACCCATCCAATTTTGGAATATCTCTTGATGGTTTTCCTTTTGGCAACTTTACATATGAAAACCAGAAGCCGTGAATTTTCAAATTCTGTAAAAACATTACTACCAGAGATGTGTAACCTTTTATGGCAGACACTTTGGGAAATTGAAAGTATATTGTACTCAACTGTTATAAAATGAGTTTCAGACAGGCCTTGCCTATTTACCAAATGACTGCCCATGGGGGATATGGCCAGTTACAAAACACTGTCTTACCAAAGGCAAACTTGCTGCCCTTCATCCACTCTATGCTCCCCCCCCATGTCCTCTCCTCTGTCATCTTGATATATCAAGGTGGTAATCATTGGATTATGAATTTTTCAATGTTGACTCTTTACCTATAACATTTTTTCCATCTCTGTTTACATTAGGCAAAGTACAGTACAAAATATAAATGAAGAATTCCTATATATTTCTCAGCAATGCACAAAGGTTTTGTCATAGAAAAGCTAAAGTGGGAAGTAGAAATTTCCCAAACAGTTTTGATTCAACGCTGAATATCAGTGATGAAATACAAATCAACCACCAACATTCTGATAATTGTCACTGGCTGAGAGGAGATGCTGAACAAAGTTATCATAGGATGATTATCAGTATTTATAGACTGACTGGAGAACATTTTGAGGTCCAATTCGTTTCACTTTTAGTAAGGCTCATAAACCAGTACTGCAACGTGATCACTAGGTGGCAGGAAAAAACTATGATTTTCAAATGCAGAAATTTGGTTCTTAAATGTTTAGGATGAGGACTTGATAAGAATATTTTTTGACCTGGGGATAGCTATCCTTTTGTTTCAAGCATGCCATTACCTAATACTCAAAGTCTGGCAACTCATCAGTCAATTATTCAATTGGGAGTCCACTTCCAGATGTGATCAACTGTGAAAATAATTCTTATTGCCCAAGTGTGGGCTCCAGTATTCAATATATAAATTTTTCCATTTTAGGGAAAGTCCTATAGGAATGTGTAGCAGTGACAGAGCCACAAAACCATAGTGAAATCTTAAACAACATTTTAGTCAGATACTGTTCACCCAATATTCTTAACCAAATCCATTACAAAAACTAGCAGCCCCATTTCCACAAAATGCTAAGCTTGCTTACCTTTAAACTTAATTGTTGGAGGTGGAGTATGGTGGCTTAGCATCTTGTGTGTTTGACTGTATTGTGCAGACCCAGAAAATGTCTTTCTTCAGTAAACAGAGTAAGCATGTTGTATGAATGCAACCTCTATCTAAATGTCAGCAAATATCCATTTTCTCAGTTAAGGTAAATATGGCCATTTTCCTGCTAAGCATGGACAAGCTATTGAGCTATTTCTTTGCTGGAATGAACAACGTCTTGCATCACACCTGAAGCATCAGGCTGGTTTAGGCATCTTCATGGCTTCATCTCTCTCTACCTGTTCATCTCTATCCCCTAACAGAGGGGCCAGTTGGAATAACTCAAACCCTGCTGGTGCTGTGCCCCTCATCCCCAGCATTTACTACCTGAAACAATTTCCTCATTCAGCTTAATGGTACTTAGCCCATGTTATAGATCACTTCTGGGTTAGGTTAAAAGGTTAGGGAAGACTTTATTAACTGGCGCTCTCCAGATGTGTTGAGTCTACAGAATTATTGACTATAGTGCCTGAGAATTCTGAAAATTGTAGTTCCCACAAACCTGGACAGCACATATTTGAGGATGGCTAGGTTAAAGAACCATAGTAGAATGAGATCATTCTGATTACTAGTAACAGGGGCTTATGACTTTTAGGGAGAGGTTTTAACAAGCCTAATAGTACAGCTAATAAGAGAATACCAGATAGGAAACCCATCCTGATCAGTGTAGATCTGTAATGGGCTATGAGAATAACCTTGAAGAAGCAGAGGAAGAGCCGCAACCAAGGCAATGGTCAGATAAGAGAAATCTCAGCCCAAAGCAGGAATGGAATTGGAGAAATTCTCTCTGCTTGACCCTCCCTAGTTCTCTCTAGGATAAAGGCAGGGAGGGAGGGGGGAGGCACATTCAGAGTTGCAAGATTCTGTTGCTATAACCCTATAATAGAAGTAGTTTTATTATTCATAACTTTGGTGTTCAGGTCTGGTCTACTTCAAAAGGCTGACCGAATCACTGTGGAGTCCAGTCTGATAAAATGTTTTCATTTGTTCATGTTATCAGTATCTTGAGCAGAATATTTCATTTCATGTATTCATTCTGTTCTTTCCATTTTTTTCTCTTTCTTCCTTCTCCCAAATGAATTTCCGTAGGGAGGTAAGTACAATTCCAGGATTTGTTTTTCTTAACATTTGTCAGTATGACTGTATAAGTGATTATCACTGTGTTGATGCCCTTGATTTCTTTTATTCTTGCTCTTCAGAGAAAGCCCAAGATCTCAGCTTCACGCAAACTCCTTCTAAAGGTGAGTCATGATGCAAGCTATCATACATTAATTAAAATGAGTTACTCTTGCATGTAACTGTACAGAACAAATTCTTCTATGTAAATTTGGGGCACTATGTAGAGCAGCCTTCCCAATTTTATCTGTTGCTTATCTGGAGGCAGAAGGTTGGAGAATTGGATGGAGGCTTCTGTCTTGTGCATTATAGGAAAGGCGTATGAGTTCTTCATAAACCTTTGTTGCAATTGATATCTCAGAACCATGGTGACAAAGGCATAAGGTTACCTTTCAAATGTTTTCATAATTTTTTTTCCAGAGTTTGATGCTGGCGAAAGCCAAGGAAGAATGGGAACAAGAACAAGTTGACAAACAAGGAGAGAAGGAGAGGTATTTGGCAGAGAGGATAACACCTCTGCATACCAGTGGGCTTTCGTTCTCCCAACTTCAGGTAGATTCTTGATTTGGGGAATGGAGTGGAAGCCTAGGTGGACTTGTTGAGTTATACTGGACTCTAATGAGTTGTATTAGGACAGTGTTGTCCAAACTTGGCCACTTTAAGATGAGTGGACTTCAGTGCTGGCTGGGGAATTCTGCGAGTTGAAGTCCACTCAT